GCCAACTGTGGAATATATGGCTTCAAGCCCACCGCTTTCAGGATTCCTACGGATGGGTGGTGTTCCACAATGGCTGGTGCTGATCCAGTTCCGGGCGTCATCGGACCCATGAGTACCAGTCTCGAAGGAATAAAGCTTTTCATGAAAACAGTAATCGATGCCAAACCATGGCTTCACGAGCCTGCGCTGACCCCAATCTGCTGGAATTCGGATTTTTCAGGTTATACTAATAGGCCACTCAAGATCGCAGTTATGTGGAACGATGGAGTCGTCACTCCTCATCCTCCAATCGAACGAGAACTTCACGAGACTGTTGCTCATCTAAGAACGATTCCGAACGTCGAAGTTGTGGAATGGAAGCCATACCTTCACGACGAAGGGTGGGCTATCATCTCAAGCCTCTACTTTACGGACGGAGGAGCCGAGGATGCTGCAACTATCGCAGAATCTGGAGAACCTTGGCGCCCTCTGACGACATGGATGCTCAAGGAGAATTCTTGTGTCAAGAAATTGAATCCGCAGAAGCTGTACTATTGGCAGGAGGAAAGAGAAGCATATAGAAAGGAGTACGCAAAAGTTTGGAACGATACGGCGATAGGAAGAAATGAGATGGGTTATCTGGAGGGAATGGTGGATGTAATTCTTTGCCCCGTGGGACCTGGAGTCGCCCTGAAGCATAATACTGCAAAGTATTGGGGATATACAAGTCAGTGGAATCTGCTGGACTACCCCGCCGTGGTGTTTCCAGTGGGCAATGTCGACCAAAACATCGATGTGCAACCAGTTAAGTATGAGACAATGAGCGGGAAAGATGAGGAGAATTGGGCACTTTGTAAGTTTTTTCCCAAGAATTATTGCTCACATACTTACAGCTGTAGATGACCCGGAAGAGTTCCATGGGTTACCTATATCACTCCAGCTCGTTGGCCGAAGGTTTGAAGACGAGAAAGTTCTCGCCATTCTAGAATATATCCTCTCGCATAACCAATGAATTTATGAAAATTATCTATCCCGAAGAGAGGGAGAGTCAAGTGAGCCTAGGCCATACTTAGTGCCGTTTCCAGTTCTAGTTCACATGAATCTCCCTAGCTAAGTCACCAACAAACATGGATGGATCATCGCGACTAAGCGACCGGCGATTTCTCAGCCCATCAAAAGCACGTCATCAATGAACTTTCATATCTTCCAGCAACCCCCTTTTCCATCTCGCCTGTTGTATCACGTGCCCACTCTGGTATCTAAATTACATGATTCGTCGTCCCATCGTTTGAAGACGACATCCCTTCCGCTCATCTCCACCACCGGCATCCTTCAGCATATGTCCCTGCTCTCTGGGCTCGTTGAAGGGGTATAGAGCACACGCTATGGACGACTTGATGCAATACGAGCCAGAGAATAATTTCTACCGTTCACTCCCTGGATTGCATGCATTTCGCCTGCTGATCCTCGAACCAGGGCATGTTTCTCAGCCAGTATCCATTCGACTACAAGTGGTTGAAAGAGCTACAGCACCTGCATATGATGCGATATCCTATGTATGGGGAGACCCAAAAATAAGGTGAGAATCGCATGCGATGGACGACCGCTCGAAATCACCTTCAACTTGTACTGGGCCCTGGTTCGAATACGGTCTGTTTCTCACACCAGAATCCTTTGGGCGGATGCGATCTGTATCAATCAGTCGGATCTTCCGGAGCGCAGTAATCAAGTCATGTTTATGGGGTCGTTGTACTCAAATGCATCTAAGGTGTATATTTGCAAGGGGGAAGCGAGAGACGGGAATGATTTTCATGTCCAGACTGTTTTAAACGACGCGATAACCCTCGGACCATCATCTCTTCCTCTTCTTCCAGATAATCACCCCATACGAAACGATTGGCGGTGGTACGCGTTGGGAATACTGATGGAAAGTCCTTGGTTCAGCCGGACGTGGGTGGTACAAGAAGCTGCGCTTGCCAACGAGTCAATTGTTCTTTACGGACGAGCCGAATTCGGATATCGAAACCTGGTGACTGTTGTTCGCTATTTAAACTCATCTACATGGGCCATCAAATTTATATTGTCAGCATCCCTGATTCATATCGAATGGGCAGACTGGCGAGTCAATGTTCATGGTCCAGCATATTCGTTTGTGGACCTTTTAAGCCATGCCGGCCCTGTTATCGTGTTCTGATCCAAGAGACAAAGTCTATGCATTCTTAGGACATCCATTGGCATACCCACTCACCGGGACCAACCTCGTCAGACCTGATTATCGGAAGACTCCGGCGCAAGTATATCTCGAATTGTCAAAGGCGCTGATTCAGCAGACGGGACTTCGAGTTCTCACAACTGTAGAACACAATCAAGCTACAATCCTGGAAGACTTTCCATCTTGGGTCACTCGATGAAATGTTTGTCTCGTGTTGAATGATATCTACAGGGTTGGCAAATTTTGCGCATCAGCTGGTCTAACCGCAAGCTCCTCAGCTTTTATAGCGGGGAACAACCTCATCCTTCAAGGTGTCATCTTAGATAAAGTTAGACAATCCTCTCTAATTGACATTAGCCAAGTATCGGGTATCAGTTTTGAGAACTCCTCTACTGGGGAACGGATGCGAATGGACAAGGTTTTTGAAGAGTTAAATAAGGTAGATGGTGGTCCATGCATGTACTCGGATCGTTCACATGCTTTTTGCATAACACTATGTTCTAGGCGCAGTGTATTCAGAAGCGACTTGATAAAACGTGCCGCTTGCTTAGCAACGATGGTGGAGAATGGAGGCCGGCCTATCAAAAAGACCTTTACGCCGCAAGAAGAAAGTGATGCTTTGGTTTACTTAGCCGAAGTAAAGGCTGTCTGTATGAATAGAACCTTTGTGGTTACGGAGAGAGGGTTCTACGGTTTGGCACCACTGCTCACGAGGCCGGGGGATGTAGCTTGTGTGCTTGTTGGAGTTGATGTCCCCTTGGTTCTGAGACCTCATGGAGAAGTAGGACTTTTTAAGTTGCTCGGCGAATCATATATTCACGGTGCTATGGAAGGTCAAGTAAAGGGCATGGTAGAGCGAAAACAGGTCTTTGAGCAAAGCGTAATTGTCTGTTAGACAAACACATAGCCAGCCAAGGGCCTGATGTACGTCAACAACCTATTAGTTGCTGTCTTTTTCCTCTTCTCAATTACTCCTAGATCACCAAGGGAGCTCTCGCCTGCATTCGTCAGCAGCGCTGCCGAAGCTACCGAAATATTCACAAACATTCAGTAGGATAAGCGGTATTTCTCTAGTGGCATTCGTGAAGAGAAAAGTGGTGATGAAAGTCTGCCTCGATCTCCGTGGGATTTCGTTCGCGATAGTTCAATATGAACATTACACCGGTCGGCGGCTCGAGATTCGTCTCACAAATCATCAAAGATTAAAAGATAATCACTGACACTTTCATCGTCTTCAAGCCCGAACTTAAAGAAGATAGATTTTCATTTATCAGCCCAAGAAAATGCTAGCAGATCGACAAGAATAAGCCTGAAAAACCCTACTCCTACATAAGATATCAGTCATATAAGCCGTACTGTTAGTTCAGGAAACGTAAACACGTATATATCCGATCGTTGCAAGCTACCCTCCCGCCCTCATATTTAACGAGTGCGTAGTGCTAAATAGCTGCTATTGCTTCAATCCCTGAAACAGCCGAGTGTTCGAATAGGGTGACGCCTGTAGAGCAGCCAATCATACCACCCAAGATCTCGCATAAGCACTAACCACCACAGAGCAATATGCCCACAAATCAGAACAAATCCCCGTTACATACTTGGGTACACAAAACCGGTTTCCTCTGCATCTCGTACCTGGATCCAATCCATATCCAGCTTCACATTCGGGATTGCCCCTACGCAAGCGGCGCTGGCCTGCATTCCTCCCCTGCATCAACCCTATTTTCAACCTCTCCTCTCTCTTCTCCCTTTTATCTCCTCTTCACAAACTCCCCATCAATCTACCCTTCATATCCTCTTCATCGCAAAAAATGGCAGAAAAAGCGAAGCCAACAATAGTCTTCGTCCCGGGCATCTGGGAAGGCCCCACAGTCTTCACCTCCCTCTCCACCACCCTGCAAGCTCTCGGCTACCCCACCGAAACAGCGACCCTCCCCTCAACCGGCACCTCTTCCCCTGGCAACCCAAGCATGCGCGACGACGAGCAAGCGATACGGTACATCGTCAAACGGCTCGTTATCAACGAAGAGAAGACCGTTATTCTGGTATGTCACAGTGCAGGAGGATTTTTGGGAAGTGGGGCAATTGAGGGGTTAAGTGCGAAGAACCTGAAAAAGAAAGGGGGCAAGGGGGGTGTGGCGAAGATTGTGTTTCTGACAGCGGGGTTGGCGGCTGAGGGTTATGTGCATGGGAAGATGCCTTTTATGGATTTTGTGGTGAGTTATTGTTTCGTTTTGGGTTCGAAGGAGTAAAAAAGTGCTGAAAAAAGGGGTTAGAAGGCAAAAGGAGAGATGCACTGTGTCGACCCGGAGTCGACGCTGTTCAGTGACCTTAGTCATGAAGAATCGCAAAGATGGATGAAAGAGCTCAAGTGTCAACCAAGTGAGGGATGGGATGCTACCACGACCTATTGCGGGTGGCGAGATGTGCCCAGTGTGTATCTGATTTGCGAAGGGGACAAGTGCTTGCCGGAGCCAGTACAGTCACACATGGCTGAGATGGCCGGGAGCGAGGTTGTGAGGTGTAATGCAGGGCATATGGTAATGCTTAGTTCGCCAGAGAAGGTGACGGAGGTAATTTTGAGTGCAGCAGAAGGCTTGTAATCCAGGAACTTGGTAATCTATGTGATGAGTCTATCGTACACAATATCGCGAAGTGGAAAGTCAGAAATCCTCTAAATAAACAATACCGCCTGGCTGAGCTTTTCTTGAACCTGTTTCTAAACGAGATTCCGATTCACTTTAACGACATCCTCTCCGTGTAATATATATCGAGATGAGAATTTTTCGGGTAAGTTGGCCAGTGGCGGCGAGGTGGCGTAGCTCAACGGTAGAGCTCACAAGAAATATCAAACGTTAGTTAGGATCAGGGGGGACTGCCCAAGTGGTGGAACTTGAACTGCTAGTGTCTGGTTGCGAATTGTGGTATTGAGCTGGTTCGACTCCAGCCGTCACCAAAAACTTTTTTTTTGGTGCTGATAATCCACTCGATCTTTTCCCTTCTTTTAAGACTCGGTGGAGATGCAAACAAATTGGATCGAGGTTCCGAGCATGGGGAAATGCATGCCACTTGGCTAGAAGACTCGTTCCTTTAACTGTAAATGTTAAATTCAGTTCGAACCGACGACAGTTCAAGGAGGGAGAGCATTAGTTTCTAACCCACATAATCAGACGGCCTTCCAAGCTCGCAAAACTAGCATCGAAGAATTTTATCGAGCTTGCAAATGACTTCAAGCGTCACCATTAATCAGACGGTAATATGGGACGAGAGGGTGACATATCAGTTTTTCAGCTCTAGGCTAGCCAACCTAGCTTGTTGGGCAAGCAGCAAGTGGTGCCATTGACTCTCAAATACCTGTGAGATGAACTTCAATAGTCACAGAAATGTGAAATGGTTAGTCTGAAGCTCGCATCCCAGAATTTCCTATCATCCACGTGCAAAGAGAGCATTGTCTGACATGCCGTCTCCTCTCGCTGACAACAACTCATCCTTCATCATTTAACATCACCACCGTTAAAGGAAAATCTCGTCCCGCGCCCTTCATGCTTCCCATCCTCTCTATCAACCACTTTCTCCTCCTTCACGCCCAAGACTCTCTGATCCTCCCTCAAAACCACTCATTCTTTGCCAGGATCGAAACTTCTATTTGGCTCTATTTTCCCTTCTCACTAGTTTATTAACGGGAACAAACCCCTAAAACGGGGCATATTCTCCATTTAGTTCAGTCTTCCGTGGATCTTTTGTCTTCATCCATATACTCGATAGTCGATGGCTGTGGTAACATGCGAAATGGATACCACGTTTGCATTGAGACCTAGCGGGTGAGAACTTATCTTCGGATGGTTGACTGCCTAGCAAAGGGTGACGTTCATTTCCACAGCTTCACTCGAGCCTCGAGGGGTTGGTATCATATACCGGGACTCAAGAGTCAATGAAGTAAGGTTCATGCTCAATAGGCCCTGTCAACAACGCATGTCTTAAGAGCGGTACCGCAGTACAGTCGAGAGGGATTTGATGGGCTCCAGTAGAACACCCACTGCTGTTTGCAATGTGAGTTCAAGACTGACGACGGCTGTCGTTGAATTGATGCCGGCAGGAGTTTCAAGCTCAGGCGCTAAGCCGGAAAGGTCCTAGCCACGTTCCTGACAGCATCTCGATGCAACAATGTCAACCCTTCACAACAACACATTTACAGCTCTAGATACAACAAGCTTGCCCGACATCGAGCAAAGAAAGAGAGGTGATTTTGCTTGCAGAAGGAGGTGGTTGATTCGAGGAATAGCAAGCAAAAGGCCCAAATGGCCACTTTACAACGGCTTTCAGGGCCGGCAGCAGTATCCCACCACGCTTTGGGGAAGTAGGTGGTCATTATGTCAGGGCAGCTTGGTGACAACAATTGGACGAAGCGATAATCTGCCAAGCCATTGAGTATTTGAGAGTCGAGACTGCATTCTTTTCATGCTTCGCTTTTTAGCGGGAAGTGCCGTTGTACGAGTCTGTACGAGAATACGACCCATCCGAGTCCGAGTACAGTACGACTAAACGAGAGACCCCTGAGTGTTACTTACAACAAGCTTAGTGGTTGGTTGTCTCAAGTTCTCAACAACGATATCCTACATGATGTATCAGAGGTAGGTGGCGGTTGCAGGCTTGATCCTTGACAAACAAAAATTTTACCATCCTACAATTTTATATGCTCCCCCGGTCTCTTTTGAAAACCCCGAAGTCTGCTGATTCCCTTTTTTTTTTATCTGGACTTTACATTCTTATCAAGATTAACAGCAGTTGCACTCAAGATGCAGACCCCAACCACCGAATTGCCTGCTTCGAGGAAGACCCAGTTGGAGAGAGAGACATTGGCGATGCTCGAAGAGAAGGATGAGAAGTATAGACCGCAAAGAAGCACACGACCTTTTCCGCAGCAAGGAACGATCCCCAGTGAAGCCGATGGGGCGGAAAGTATTGATTGGGACGCACCTCCGCCGTACGAGCAATCATTTGGAAATGACCAGAGGAATGTTTTTACAACAGTGGAAGGTATGTGTGTTGTATATCCCAAAGAAGAGTAAGAGGCTTAGTTTGTCTTCTAGATAATGGCCGAATCAGCATGTTCTTTGGGGGAACTGGCGATAGATACCCGACCCTCCCTCCACTGCCCGTGTATGATCCACGAGTGGAGCAGATTCGAAATTCAGCAGTACAATCATATTCTTTACTGAACATTGTCATTCAAGTTGTGGGCAGTCGAGGTACGCGATGTCCTGCAGTGGAGCTAAATAGGACTGATGAGTACACTAGGTGACGTCCAGCCATTCATCGCACTCGGGCAAGAGCTCCAATTTGTAGGTCACCGGGTCCGGTTGGCAACTCATAATGTCTTCGAGCAATTTGTTCGAGATTCAGGACTTGAATTCTTTCCAATTGGTGGGGATCCTACCGAGTTGATGGCTGTGAGTTCAGCAGCATCACCCCAGGTCTCTTACTTTTCTAATCTTGCCCCCCACAAAGTATATGGTGAAGAATCCGAGCATAATTCCCAAAATTGCGACAATTCGAGCAGGAGATATTTCTAAGAAACGCAAAATGATCAGTGAAATCCTCAAAGGATGTTGGAGATCATGCGTCGATCCCGACCCCTCAACAGGCGCTCCATTTGTAGCTGAGGCCATCATCGCCAATCCTCCCAGTTTCGCACATATGCACTGCGGCCAGGCAATGGGAATACCGGTACATCTTATGTTCACCATGCCTTGGACCGCAACACGAGCATTCCCTCATCCCCTAGCAAATGTGCAACTTGCAGATACGGATCCGACGACGAAGAATTTCCTGTCATATGGTTTGGCGGATATAATGACTTGGCAAGGGTAAGTCTCAGAGTTCCGAAACGGAAACAGATTGCTGATCGATTGGATACAGTCTGGGAGATGTTGTCAACCACTGGCGAAAAACCACCCTGAATCTTGAGCCTCTCCCGACAATGGTTGGCGCGAACTTGGCCAATTACCTCAAAGTTCCCTTTACATACTGCTGGTCACCAGCCCTGATTCCAAAGCCGTTCGATTGGCCTTCACACATCGGTTCGCAATCTTCATTGCAATTATGTTACTCGGACATTAACTTTGATTTTAGATGTTTGCGGTTTCTTTTTCCGCAATGCACCAGACTATACCCCATTCCCAGAATTAGACCACTTTTTGAGAGCTGGACCACCTCCAATCTATATTGGGTTCGGTTCAATTGTCATGGAAGATGCTCACCAGATGACTCGTACCATCTTAGATGCAGTTCAAACATGCGGGGTCAGAGCGATTGTGTCTGAAGGGTGGGGCAATCTCGGGAGCGGGGTGTCGGACGACCACGATGATGTTCTTTTCATCGGAGATTGTCCTCATGGTATGTCGTCCCTCGCAGAGCATTGTTAAACTCCTTATTGACTTTGGTTAGAATGGCTCTTCAAACACGTCTCAGCCGTCATTCATCACGGCGGAGCAGGAACAACAGCATGCGGTCTACTCAACGGTCGACCAACAGCTATCGTCCCATTCTTCGGAGAGTAAGACCCCTCGCCCCTCTTAAAAGATCCCGCTTCCTAACGTCTCAAGTCAACCGTTCTGGGCCAACATGGTATTTCAAGCAGGAGCCGGTCCCCGTCCCCTTGACCAAAAAACCCTCGACTCCTCTACCCTCTCGACCGCCATCGAGGTACTCCTACTTCCCCAAACCTTGCAGGCCGCCGTCAGAATTTCCCAGAAAATGAAGCTCGAAGATGGTGTCAAAACCGCAGTGCGCTCTTTCCACCGAAACCTTCCTCAATCAATGCACTGCAGTTTCATCCCCCGACAGCCCGCAACGTGGTACTGGAAAAGGGGGCATCGAATACTCAAACTCTCTCATCGTGCTGCCTCAATCCTAGTCGAGCATAAAAAGCTCGAAGCTTCCTCTTTGAGACTCTACCGAAGCAAGCCGATAACGATCGAGAATAAACGCTGGGATCCAATAACAGCAACTACATCAGCGTTCATGGATGGTGTGATGGATGTGGGCTCTGCGTTCGGGGAGCTGGTTGAATCTCCGATTAAGGAATATAGGAAAGTCAAGAGCATGGAGCGGGAAAATTCTTCTCTATATCAACCCTCAGACTCAAATTCAAGTTCCAGCAGGGCCAGCATCCGTAGCGGCAAGACTGGCACGTCTGAAACGACAGCAGGAAGCAGTGGTGGACAATCTGCCGCCGGCGCAGCCGGAAAAGCCATCGGAAGAGGCTTTGAGAAGGTAGGGTTTGCAGTCACTAAAGGAGTGATTGATTTACCACGTGCGATGGCGGATGGGTTTCACAATGTGCCGGCACTTTATGGGGAGAAGGTGAGAGATTATGGGGAGATTGACGGGTGGAAGAGTGGTGGGAAGGTAGGGGTTAAGAGCATGGGATATGGCTTCTATGATGGGTATGTGGGCTTTTTTACTCAGCCTTATAAGGGGGCGAGAGATGGCGGTGCAGTTGGCTTTGCGAAGGGAATTGTTAAGGGGTGTGCGGGGCTGTTGACGCAGCCTGGTCATGGTATATTTTCTCCTCCCAGATCCCTTCCTCATTTCTTCAATTAGCATTGGCTGATGAAATACAGCAATCTTGGGAGTGGTTGCATACCCAGCTCTCGGCCTCTACAGAAGTCTCAATACCATTCATCTGACCGGTGCACAAGGAGAGATCCTGAAAGCGCAGAAGGAATACGGCATTTTTCTTGCAGAGACTGATCTTATGGACAAGCAGGAAGTGGAGAGGGTTATGAGCGAATTTGACGAGAAGTGGTTGTCTGTTAGAGAAGTATGATTCTGGCTTCTTTCCGAATGTGGTTTTGTGAATAGTGAGAGGGGTTCGGGATGGAGCTGGAGCCGTGGGAATGAGTTCAAATATGGGATAACCTTCTTTCTTCCAGCTTGATAGATGGGATGAGA